GACCCCCCTCCCAAGCACCAAGAAGACAGAGCATCACTTGCCCCAGAGCCCCTATCTATACCTTGTGGCTAATAGCCACTGATGGATCTCTGCTCCATATGCTTATCTAATTCCCTTTTGAAGCCGTCCATGCTTGTAGCCGCCACCACTTCCTGTGGCAGTGAATTCCAAGTGTTAATCACTCTTTGGGTGAAGAAGTACTTCCTTTTATCCGTTCTAACCCGACCGCTCAGCAATTTCATGGAGTGCCCACGAGTTCTTGTATTGTGAGAAAGGGAGAAAAGTACCTCTTTCTCTACCTGCTCTTTCCCATGCATAATCTTATAAACCTCAATCATGTCACCCCTCAGTCATCGTTTCTCCAAGCTAAAGAGCCCTAAGCGCCTTAACCGTTCCTCATAGGGAAAGTGTTCCAACCCTTTTATCATTCGAGTTGCCCTTTTCTGCACTTTTTCCAAAGCTATAATATCCTTTTTAAGGTGTGGTGACCAGAACTGCACACAGTATTCCAAATGAGGTCGCACCATTGATTTATATAGCGGCATTATGATATTGGCTGATCTGTTTACAATACCCTTCCTAATAATCCCCAGCATAGCATTGGCCTTCTTTATTGCAGTCACACACTGTCTCGACATTTTCAGTGAGTTATCCACTACAACTCCAAGATCTCTCTCTTGATCAGTCTCTGCCAGTTCAGACCCCATCAACGTGTATTTATAGTTAGGATTTTTGGCTCCAATGTGCATCACCTTGCACTTGGCCACATTGAACCCCATTTGCCATGTTGACGCCCACTCGCCCAACTTTGACAGATCCCTTTGGAGTGCCTCACAATCCTCACTGGTTTTCACCACCCTGAACAACTTCGTATCATCCGCAAATTTAGCCACTTCACTGCTTACTCCCAACTCCAAATCATTAATGAACAAGTTAAAAAGCAGTGGACCAAGTACTGATCCCTGTGGTACCCCACTGCTTACACCCCTCCACTGGGAGAACTGCCCATTTATACTCACTCTCTGTTTTCTATTAATTAGCCAGTTTTTGATCCATAAAAGGACTTGTCCTTTTATCCCATGATTTTTGAGCTTGCTTAGGAGCCTTTGATGAGGAACTTTATCAAAAGCTTTCTGGAAGTCAAGGTAAACAATATCTATTGGATCCCCCTTGTCCACATGTTTGTTCACCCCCTCAAAGAACACTAACAGGTTAGTGAGACAAGATCTTCCCTTACAGAACCCATGTTGAGTCTGCCTCAATAGGTTTTGTTCATCTATGTGCCTACTAATTCTTTCCTTAATAATGGTTTCCACCAATTTACCCGGTATCGACGTCAGACTGACTGGCCTGTAATTTCCCGGATCTCCTCTGGAACCCTTTTTAAAGATGGGAGTGACATTAGCTACCTTCCAGTCCTCAGGAATGGAGGCTGATTTTAAGGAGAGATTACATATTTTTGTCAGGAGATCCACAAGTTCACAATTGAGTTCTTTCAGAACTCTTGGATGTATGCCATCTGGGCCTGGTGATTTATCAGTTTTTAAGTTGTTTATCAGTTTTAGGACCTCCTCTCTCGTCACCTCAATCTGACTCAGGTCTTTCAACACCCCTCCCGAACTCAGCGGCTCTGGAGTGGGCAAGCACCTCTCATCTTCCACAGTGAAGACGGAGGCAAAAAATGCATTTAGCTTCTCAGCCATTTCCCTATCATCCTTCAGTACTCCTTTTACCCCTTGGTCATCCAAGGGCCCCACTGCCTCCCTGGCTGGTTTCCTGTTTCTAATGTATTTGAAGAAAGTTTTATTGTTGGTCTTTACATTTTTTGCTATATGCTCCTCATATTCCCTTTTTGCATGCCTGACCACAGACTTGCATTTTATTTGCCATAGCCTGTGTTCTGTTTTATCAGCCTCACTGTGACTAGCTTTCCACCGCTTAAAGGAATCCTTTTTACCTTTTACAGCTTCCATTACTTTGTTTGTTAACCATGTAGGCTTTTTCTTATACCTGTTTGTGCCTTTCCTAACCTGCGGAATATATTTTATTTGAGCTTCTAGAATTGTAGTTTTAAACAGTTTCCAAGCTTCCCCAATGGTTTTGACCCTTTCTACTTTTCCCTTCAGTTTCCTCCCCACATGTCCCCTCATATCAGAAAAATTACCCCTTTTAAAGTTAAAAGTGGTTGTGTGAGTCTTTTTGGCCAATTCCCTATTTGTACAAATGTTGAACTCAACAACATTATGATCACTGTTCCCAAGCGGTGCAATCACTTTTACATCTCTCACCAGGTCTTGAGTGTTACTTAGGACCAAATCAAGGATCGCCTCTCCCCTGGTAGGTTCCATGACCATCTGCTCCATAGCACAGTCATTTAGAGTGTCTAGAAACTCAATCTCTTTCTCTCGACTAGAACACATATTGACCCAATCAATGTGTGGGTAGTTAAAATCACCTATTACGACACAGTGTTTTTGTCTAGCTGCTATCTTTAATTCATTCATCATTTTATAATCCTCCTCTATCTTTTGATCCGGTGGGCGATAACAAACTCCCAGTGTTAAGTTTCCTTTTGGCCCCCCTATTTCAACCCACAGAACTTCAAGAAGCGAATCCAATTCTCTTAGCCTCTCGATCTTTCTGGACTTTATACCCTCTCTGACATACAGAGCCACCCCACCTCCAACCCTTCCCCCCCTATCCTTCCGATATAATATATAACCGGGAATCACCGTATCCCACTGATTTTCCTCATCCCACCAAGTTTCTGAAATACCCACAATGTCTATTTTTCCCTCTGACACCAAGCACTCCAACTCCCCGATTTTACCTCGGACACTTCGAGCATTTGTATAGAAACAGCTGTAATTTCCCATACTGGTTAAGCCTGCCACCTTCCTCTTGCAATCTCGAGACCTTGTCAGGCAGTCCATGTCACTAGCCATGGTCTCAGTGGACAATTTCAATCCACCTCCCTGTAGAAAAGCAACAGGTACCCCCTCATCTCTCTGAGATGAGCCAACCCGAACCAGAGACTTTTCATCTCCTGTCGGCTTTCCCCCAATATTCAGTTTAAAAACTGCTCTGCCACCTTTTTGATTTTAAGCGCCAGCAGCCTGGTTCCTTCTCGGGACAAGTGGAGACCGTCTCGCCTGTACAGCTCCCTCTTGTTCCAAAAAGAATCCCAGTGCCTAACAAACCTGAACCCTTCCCCTCTACACCATCGTCTCATCCACGCATTGAGACTCCTGATCTGTGCCTGTCTCTCCGGCCCTGCGCGTGGAACAGGTAGCACTTCTGAGAAGGCTACCTTGGAGGTCCTGGCCTTGAGTTTCCTGCCCAGCAGCCTAAATTTCTCCTCCAGGACCTCACGACTGCATTTCCCCACATCGTTGGTGCCGACATGCACCACGACCACTGGCTCCTCCCCAGCACTATCTACCAGCCTATCTAAAACACGCGTAATGTCCGCATAGATTCCTACTGCAAGGAATGGAACTTGTTTTGTATTAGGTGGTCTGCTCTGTTCCCACCTGTTGTAGCTTACACTTGTGCTCATGGAAGACTATATTTCCCCCCCCCCCCAGGCAACAGTGACGGAGACATCTGGAAGTTTAAGCACGGAACTGGAACAAAACTTGTTTTTTGTTGACACCCAAAGCGCCTTGAAGCCCCCAAGTGCCACAGTGGGGAAAGCTGCCGCTCTTGAGGAGGGTCCAGGAGAGACAGAAATCTCTGAGCGATTAAGCGGAAGTTCTGTTGAGTGTTCCGACGGCGAGCAAGGGAACCCCACTAGTGCACGGTACTCTGAAGACTTTGACTCGCTGTCTGAGAACACAGAAAGGCAGTCCTCTTCAGAGGATTCACGGGACGGGCTGGATGCCTCTCTGCAGGCCAGACTCTCCGATCCGTCCTCTCCCTGCCTGCCCCCAGGGGGAACCAAAAGGCCCCAGTCAGCAAGGAGGATCACCACAAAGGAAGTGGCTGTGCAGACTCACAGCTCCTCACTCACACCTCATGGGTTAAAAAGTAAGTCTTGGGTTGGATGGGGAGGGGTTGTGTTCCAGGGTCAACACAGGGGCAGCCTTTTTCCTGTCAATCAAGATTACTTTGGTGTAGCGTGGACTCTAAACTGGGAGAACCGGGTTTGATTCCCCTCACCTCCACTTGCAGCAGCTGGATGACCTTGGGCAAGCCATAGTTCTGTCAGAGCTGTTCTTGAAAGAGCAGTTTCAGAGCTCTCTCAGCCCCACCTGCCTCACAGGGTGTCTGTTGTGGGGAAGGGAGGGGAAGGGAAAGGAGTTTGTAAGCCACTCTGAGACTCCCGAGTGGAGGGTGGGGCATAAATCCAATCTCTTCTTCTTCTTCTCCACAGCTGCTGCTGCTACCGTTGACTGGATTGTTGAAGGCCCCACCACCAGCCATGTTGTGAGCATGGATGCCCTAGAAGGTATTGCCCAGCAAGGACACGCCTCCCCCACTGCTTTGGCTTGGCCTCAGCCATTGCCACCTTACAAATAAGTACCTCACAAAGAACTATTTGGTTTTTTTCCTGCCACAAAAAAGTGCACTGCATTAAGAGTCAGTGAGCTTAGGAAGGTGTAATTCTACTTAGGAGCTGCATCCTTCTGTGTACCCCTTGCATGGAGAAGAGTCTTTTGCAACCAGTGACTTACGGCTGACCTCTAGTTGTCCCCTGGGAAGAGCTGTCTCCCATAGCAGGATTACACAAACCCAGGGGAGATCTGGGAGCCGCTGAACATGTGCCAAGCACCCTTGTGTAAACCATTCTACAAAGTGATGCCCCAGAGAGGAAAATGGGAGGGAGGGCCTGCAGCCCATGAATGACCCCTCCGTAGACTGTACACCAGTTACAGTTTCTTCAGATGGGGATGGGTGGTGGTGGCTATCATCTAGTGGGGGAGGGAGGCTCACGCCAGCACCGCAGCCAGGATTTCTCTCAGCCCTGCCTCCTGTCTCCCGCTCACAGAACTGACAACATACAGACCTGCCGTGTCGGCCTTAAGTGATATGTTGAAGCAGAACTTGCTACTTATCCAGCAGTTTGTCGAGGCCAGCCGCCACCTTCATTCGTCTTTTGTGGCCCTGCTGGAGGAAGAAGAATTCCACTACCACACCCTGGAAGAAGCCAAGAGGGTAAGATTTGCCTTTCGGTGGGAGGGAGGAGTGTGTGATTGTTGCCTCAAGAAGCAAAGGGGGCCTTACAACCCACTAGTCGGGATGAGGCCTTTAGAATGATCCTTCATAGCGGCTTTCCATGTTGAAATGCAAATTTCTGTTTTTTAAAAAAACGTTATATTTTTTTAAAAAATTCACTTTATTTTTTTAAAAATTCTTCGCTACAGAGAGGGATATTTGCCCCACAGAGCCTCTCCTTTCTCTCTCTCAGTAACGGCTTCCTTGGCTCATCACAGCATGTAAATGCTGACAGACACACCAACAGTAAACAACTCCTTATCTTCTGAACATTTAGTCATTTATCTCTCATCTGGATAGGGGATTGTTTCGAAAGCCAGAATAGGTGGCCTCAGATTCCCCCCGGATATTTTGGCAGCTGGGGATCCCCTTCCGGTCTCCTAACGACCTGCTAGGGTGGATCTGGCAACAGAGTGATGTTAATGGGGTCCTCAGCTGTCAGGTTTGGCAGGTTCCTTGCTGAGGGGATCTCTCTGGTCTGTTCTGGCTCGAAGACCAAGTGGAGAGCAGATCCAGTAGCTGAGGGTCAGCAGCACCTGCTTGCCCTCTGGTTATGAAGAGACTGAGGTCGATCTTGTGGACGGGGTCCTTAGGAGTGATGTGAGTGCTGCCACTTTTGCCCATCCTGGCTTCTGAAATCTTGCTGGGAAAAGGAACTGGAGCCTTGGGTTAAAAAGGTTAACACCTTTCTGCGAAGGGGCTCTCTTCCCAAGACCTTTGCAAGTGGCAGTTTTTACATCTCCAGCTTACCAGAAGCCCCCTCGCCACTGCTAACAGTTCTGCCCTGAGCATGGCATCTGCTGATGTTTCTGTTTGTCTCAGTTGCCTTCTCGGCTGGCCTGCTCCCTTTGTCCTCATTGGGCATGATTCTGAGCAGGCATACTTGCTCTTGCTGTCCCTGGGAAGCCCCTCCTCTCCTCCTGCAACCTGGCTCCTGGGTGTGGGGGCAAAAGGGCCAGCCTGGAATTTCCTTCAGCCCATAACTGCAGACACATTTGCACTGAATACACCAGCACTGGAAGAAATCCCCAGCCCCCCCCCCATCAGAACTGCTGCTCGGGAGGGGGACCGGGGGAGGGAAAGGAGCAGGATCCTGGGGATGCTGGCTGCTCCAGTGTAGTCGGTGCTACCTGCTTTAGACTCATGTTTGAGGACAGGATGGTGGCTCAAGCAACGGGTGACTGGTTGCAGTGCCAAATGTGGGAGAGGCAGGTGAGTTGCTACAGCTGCCACACACACCTGAACAGACATGGGGACTTGGATGCCTGACAGGAGGCCATTCACACATGCAGATCCCACAGCTGGATGACTTGCCCAGAGCAGCAACCCTTCCCTGGCTGAGAGTCAGTAAGACGTGTGGTGTAAGCAGGTGGGGGTGCTCTTCTCACACACTGCCCACCTTGCTTAAGAGTCCCAACCCGTTCTATTCCCTTACAGTACATCAACCATCACAAGTGTCCGCCTCTGACCCTGGAGCAAGCTTTGCATGAGCTGGAAGAACAGAAGCAAGTGGTGGTTTAGATCCTCAGGGCCCCTCGGGAAAGGAAAAGCAGAGGCAGGTGGCCAAGACTGCCTTGAAAATGACTGTGGCTCCGGCAGCACATATACTAAAACTGGAACGATGCAGAGAAGATTAGCATGGACTGTGGCCTTTTCTCAGCAGGGGAGGCGCACCCTGAATGTGGAAACGAAACAGAGGCAGAAGAGGCTTTTAAGGAAATTAATCCCAAGAGGGCTTTTGCAGGCTGACCAATGCAAGGGCATCTGAGCTCAAGGCCAGGTCCCGCTGCTGGAAACTCCACACTAAAACCCAAACTGCTCAGGGTTGAAAGAGCCAGACTGAAAGTTTCTTCTGGTGCTGCATCCTCCCCTCCTTTCCCCTTGCCCAAATAAAACTAAATCCTCATATTGTAAAAAAAAAAAAGAAGAACCTGTTTATTAGAAGGCAACAGTAAGGACAAAATGGCAGCCCATGTGGGAAGGGGCCTGGCGGGATTCCAGGAGGGCCAATGGTTTCACAGCTGCTCGAGTCTACAAGAGTTGCTACCTCTCCAGTTCAACGAGAAGGGTTGCTGCGGGGCGGGGCAGGGGGGTTGCTATGGGGTAGGCAAGGAGTGGTCTTATCCATACTAACTCCTCCCATTCAGTTGCCCAAAAAAAAAAAAGTTGTTTTGTGAGGCGGCTTCTAGGAATGCTTCGGTGGGCGGTGGAGTCTGCAGCACTCCTTCCAATTCACATCTGGAAGGTATGTACAAAAATACAAAAATGCCTGAAGAATTCCCTTCCTTTCAAAGCACTGAGAACCCCCTCAGGCTGCAGTGACGGGGGGCAGGCTGGGGATCCAGGTGGAGCCGTGGTCTTCTTGCCCAGCATCCGACCGCCATCCGAGCAGCTCCCTCCACTCCAATTAGCCTGAGGAAGGGAGACGAGATTGTGTAAGTGAGAAGGAAGGGCCGGGGGAACAACAGGCCCATCTAAAGTTCACAGGGTCGTTGCAGAAAGGCACCCCTGCGACCTTTTTTATACTGCCAGGGGAAGAAAAATTCTGAAGGCAGATTTCTCCTTCAGAAGGGCTTCTGTGAAAGAGCAGCTAGGCTGGTATTTAGCACAAGCTTAGCTGGGAGGAGGGCATTCTTCGGGGTTCTAATTTTACAGAGTAATTCTTGGGAAAACTGGACGGGGCTCCCCATCTTTAGGGATGCTGCAGGAACTGCAAGGGAGGTTTCTGACTTGGGCCAGCCCCACCAGGAGTCACTTACTTTCATCTCTGGCCTTCATGCGAGCAATGAAGGAGTAGCTCTTGTTCCTCCGGTAGTTTTCGTAGGGGTCATCCAAGGCCACTCCCACACCCTTGTACTGATCCCACTTGTCTCGGATATCTCCTCCTTTAATGGGATCCTGGATTCCCTGCTCCTTGGCCCCCAAGCCACCAGATCCGCTCCACCCTGGAACAGAACAACATAATAGTCAATAACAGCTGGGAAACGAAGACCCCAACAGCACCCTCTACTCAACCCACCCACTATCAGACTAACTGGCCCTCGGGAACAGAAGCAGAAAATGCACATCTAGGGCGGCAACGCAGGAGGATGAGATTTCCCATAGAGCATACTTCCAGTCAAGGTATTCCTTTGGTTAAGGCAAAATCTTGCAGACACTGAAGTGTACAGGCAGGCATCAGAGGGGCCAACAGACTCCTCTGAGCCGACCCCAAGCTCAACGGCCATGCTTGCAGCACAGTGCCTGTGCAGCGATGTACGACAAACCCCCTGGGGTCACAGAGGAAGGGATCGGCACTGTCTATATGGAACTTTCCACACCTGTCCAGCCAGCACGGTGCTGTGGTGAAAGTGTTGGACTAGGATCTGGGAAACCCAGGTTTGAATCCACACTCTGTCACGGAAGCTCGCTGGGTGACCATGGGTCAGTCACACACACCACCTTACCAATTGTAAGGACAAAACGGAGGAGAGGAGAGTGATGTCAGCCGCTCTGGATACCCATTGGGAAGGATAAAACGGAGGAGAGGAGAGTGATGTCAGTCGCTCTGGATACCCATTGGTGAGAAAGGCCAGATACAAATAAATGGGCTGAGCACAGAAACGGCTGTCCCTGTCAAAACCAGGGCCTCCCGGAAATGGGAGGAGGGAAGGGAAAAAATTAATCCTTCTTTGCTAAACAGTCCCTGAGTATATGCAGAGGGCATTAAACACCTCTTAGATGCAGGGCATTAAACACCTCTTAGATGCAGGGCACACACCTCGTGGCTGAACCAGAGTTGCCCTTCAGGATAAAGACGAGGGATGCCCTTGCGTTTGGCTATTGTTCCACATCTCAAACCTGGGAGGCTCGGGTTGAAATCCACAAAGCTCCCTGAGCGACTTGGGCCCGGTGACCCTCTGCCAACCTAACCTACCTCACAGAGTTGTGAGGGTAAAAGGGAAGAGGGTAACTTACGTACCCTCACCCTAAGCCTAGAACCACAAAGGAGGACATCTGCAGTCTCTGGTGCTAAGCGGCCCCAGGCTGGGCCTCCCAGTTGGTGCCGGGGGGGGGGGAGGTCTGCTTGGATGAGGCTGCCAAGGGAATGCCACTCCTGGCTCTGGCTTGAGAAAAGCAGGCGTGGAGGACACGCGGGAGCTTACCCATCTTCACGAGCATCTGGTGTCCTTTATTCTCCTCACCCAGTCTGGAATCAGGGACGTGACTCCCAGAGCTGGAGCCCAGTCCGGCCGCAGAGCTGAGGGTGCAAATTCCTGGTTAAGGGGCCAGCATGGTGTGCCTGCAGCCCGCTGAGGGAGCCGGGATGGCCCGAAAGCAGAGCTGCCGGTCTTTTGGTGAGCCCAGCAGCCACCCGTGCCGGGGAGACACCAAGCCTGACCTCGTCGGCTTGGGCCACACGCCCCACCCTGTGGGCTCATCCCACTTCTCCGCTCCCAGCACCACCTCTGCAAGGTGGACGAGCGGCGGGAACTTACGGAGGCGTTTGGCTGCGAGATCGGGACCGGTGCCGCCTTCCGGGGGAGTAGGACTTGGAGCGGGACCGAGACCGTGAGCGGCTTCGAGAAGAGCGGGACCGGCTCCGGCTCCTGGAAAAACAGCAAGCGGCACAAGATCGGTTCCCTCCCCTGTGGCACAGACACACACACCCCAGTGCAGCTTCAGCTGCCCCCTCCCCCGTTCTTCCCTATGGGGCGGCCAAACTGCTGCCCCCCCTGCAGGGGCAGCGAAGCCGGCTGTCCTTGAGACCTCCGTTGAAGCTGAGGGCAAACAAGGCTCCCGGGAGGAAGCCGAGTTAGAGAGAAGTTCCCCGAGACATGTCCTCAAGGGAATCCCTGCTTATGAGCCGCCCAGCCACTGCCCTTATGCTCCTCTCCCTCCTCCTCCCCGAGAAGAGAAGGCCCCACAGAGGTGTCCTGAGCTGCCGCCTGCCTCCTTTTACCTGGACTGCGACCGGGAGTAGGATCGGGAACGAGAGCAGGACCTGGACCGGGACCTTGAGTAAGAGCCGGATGACTTCGAAGACCTCGAATTGGAGCGGGAAGAGGAGCGGCCCCTGCTTTTAGATCTGCTGCGAGAGCGTGATGGCCCACTGCCTCGGACGAGAAGGACCAAAGATGAGGCGAGGGGAGGCAAGGCGGTTAACAAGCAGACACGCTGCTGACGGGTACAGTCTGGCTGGGCAGCAGACTGATTTGTACTCAGAGGGTTTATGCCACTGAAGGTTTCTGAAACCGAACTACTCAGAGAAGCAGGCCAACAGTAACCGACGCTGCCCAGGCAGGCCAAGAACGAATGACCCCTTCCCACCACCACAGGCCAGATGGCCCTCAGGAGAAGGAGAAGAGATTGGATTTATGCCCCGCCCGTCACTACCTGAAGGAGTCTCGGAGCAGCTTACAATCCCTCTCCCCTCCCCTCCCCACAACAGACACCCTGGGCAAACAGAACACCCCGAGAGGGGAGGAACGGGACCAGCAGGCCTTGCACAGCACGGCTGGGAACTTCAGCTTTCCCCGTCTCTTTTTGCCCTCTCCCTCAGGTGGATGGGGGGGGGGGGGGGGGGGGGGAGACAGTCAAGAGGCCAAAACAAAAGGAAAGCAGAGATCTCAGAAGGGAGAAAATAATACCCGAAGTCCAGGGTGAAAGTTTTAAAGTTACTGGAAAGAGGGAGAGAAACCAAATGCTGGAGCGGACAGGACAAGAAACAGGATGCTGCTCTGTGTGCTGCGGCTGCCTAAGGTCGGCTGATCAGCACAGCCCTGCCCGTGGAGCAAGTGGGAGCAGTGACACGACACTCTGCCCCCCCCCGGACTCTCCCCCCC